AGACACAGCAAAAGAGAATGAGAAGGAGACAGAAGGAGAGGAGAGGAGGAGGAAAGAAAAGTACAGAGAAAGGAATTTAGAAAAATTACAGAAGAAAAAGAAGAAAGAAAAAGAAGGAGAGGGAGGGAGAAAATTGAAAGAAAGGAAGAAAAAAGAAAAAGACCAAGCAAGAAAGAGGAAGGGAGGAAGAGAAAGAACAAAAGAGAGGAAGGTAGCAGAAAAGAGAAAGAAAAAGTGGAAAAGGGAGAAAGGGAAGAAAGAAAGAAGAGTGGAAGAAGAGAAAAAAAAGCCATGAGAAGAGGGGAAGAGGAAGAAAGTAAGGAGAAAAAGAGGAAGAAGAGAGAACGAAAGACAGAATAGAAAAGAGTGTTCATTAAGATGAATGCCATGCTTCCTTAGAATCCAATTTATTTCTGGTAAAACTTACCACAAAATTGACATAATCAATGGACAAGGTTGACTGTGATTTTACCTACAGAAACTGACCCAATTTTTAAGAGCCAGTTACGAATTGTTAATCGTAACATCTTTGCTTCAGCGTAAGGAAAAAAAAAAGTTTACTGTAGATGAGCTGGATGTCTTCTTCACTTTACAAGCATTCTAGTTTGAAACCCATTGTTTTGTAGAATAAAATCTATTCCTGTCACTAATGATTGTTAGAGACTTGTTTTTCTCAGTTGTTAATAAGCCTTTCAGTGGTACTGCTAGCTTCTAAACAAAGTCCACAGGATTCCAACACAGGTCCCATTTTGGCTTTATCGTTCAGGGCTGAGCATCAGAAAACAGATGATTGAAAAATTACACTAACACTGATTTATTGGTCTTGCAGAAGTTCTTCCTTCCGTCTCTGATTTTAGCTGTCCCCGTCAAATTATGTGGTTTTAATGTGCAACAGGAAGAGTTAAGAAACAAATGCAAACAAAATCATTATTAAGCATTTAGTTTGAATAGCAAGTTACCAGTGTTTTATGAGTTTCAAGCTTAATAATTCATAGCAGTAACAAGCTACTTCCATACAGTAAAAACCAAGTTCGTTCCTTGATATTTTGTTGCACTGGCTAGTACATTTATGGTCTATTTACTGACTGACACTTCTCTCTTTTTTTAGCTGAAAATGGTGAAGGCTTCCATATAATTTTGAAATGATGTCACATGATTGCTAGACATATTCCAATGCAGAATGAAGTCCTGCCTAAAGATTATGATCATCCAAAAACTTCGGATCTAACTTCACTGTATAAGATGTTTCATATTGAAAACACAAGATGACCTACCTTTCAAATGAGCTGTTTGATAAGTGAACTTCCTTATCACTGCCATAGCTAAGTGTCCTCATGAGAGGTATAATGCCATGACAGCTTATGTACAGGCATGGAAGACAATGTAAGCAAAGGTGCTTGCCCTTTACTGAAATAAGGCAAATTATGGCCAGTAGATACAGTTTCTAGAAGTGAAGCACTATTGCTTTTCTATTACCTGTATCCAGTTGGAGATGAATGTAAACTTATCTGAGGGCATTTACCTTTCTGTGCCAGTTTGTCTATTACTTGCTTGTACCTTATGCTGACTTTATTTTTATTTTTTGATGTTAGCAGAGCACATATTAATCTGTGTGGAAATGAGTAGTTAAGCTGATAGTGATCAGGTTGTTGGGTCTTTGAGAACAAAGCTGTCAAAACAGCTTCCATGTAAATTGTTTATAAGAGTGTATGTAAGAAGTGTAAATGCCAGAATAGGGCTTTTAAGAAGTCCTAGACAGATGCAATATATGCATGCAGCTAACTGCATTATCAGTAGTACCTTATTGGACAGGTTAATATAAATCCTATGGGGTACCAAGTAATTGTGTTTTGCTTTAACAAATTTAATGGAAAAGAATTGCCTATGCATCCTTTATTTTTAGTTTCCTAGATTCTCTGCAGAGCACTGCTGCAGTTTAACTCTTTACTTGTAACATTGTGGGTTTAAAAATACTAGCAGAGAGAGGTGGATTTGTAGGACTTATGGTATTACGCTCTTGAGGGAACTTGACCCACTGGCACCAAGGGGCTATCATCGCTTTCTGCATCAAGTAAATTGCTTAAGAAACACTAAATAATGCACCCTTTAAGTCTCCTTACCAGCAGGTAAAACCTTGCTGAAGTCACTATTATGAACAAGTATCTTACCTTTTCTGTTGACTCTTTGCCCTCAGATGCATACTGTAAAACTGTTACAGTGCCTCTACCATATGACCAAATATTTACTTTACTTTGAACAAGGCAATGTGTTTTTTCAATATTTTGGATATTTCTAGTAAAGATATGGCACAGCATTTCCTATGTTAACATTGTTTCAACTGTTCTAGGTACTCAAAAGGGGAATACTTCAAAAGGTATTAAGTGACAGTTTCATATCTGTCATTTTGTGCCTCTGAAAGTTTCCACCTTGATCTCTGGCTTGCAAGCTTGGGAATAGTTTGCTTTTTATGCTGCAGTGTTCATTGTGAACAGCTACTACAGCATGTAAAAAAGCAGCTTAGATTTTTCATTCCCTCTTTCATAACTGGCTCAAATGCTTAGAAGAAAAGCTTCTTAAACCTGTAGCATTTTGAAAATTTAAATTCATCAAAGCTAGAGTTTCTTTCTTATTTTTATGTTTTTCTGCACTGAAAGTAACATTTTCTGTACTTAAACATTTCTGCCTATAAGTTGTTCATACTTGGGTATTGTTTGGTCCTAGTATTTTCTTGAACTGACAATTGTGTCTTTTCAGCTCATACCATATTCAAATCCAAATGTTTTATGAAAGATTGATTGGAAAGTATCCAAATATCTAATTTTAAAGAATATTGAAAGTTGTACAGTAGTTTGTCCAGCTCACTTGAAATTGGAATTAAATTATGGCACCAGCAAATTGCTTTTGTTTTTTAATAAGATGTACACATTTCAATTTAAGTATAATAAATGTTTTTCAATAATTTTGTAAACGTTCTTTTCATTTCTTTTAACATCTTGGAAATACTTCTGTTGTTAAGAGTTAGACTGTGAAGTTTATCCTAGCAGTTAACGGTTGGTAAAAGTAAATAATTGAAGCAAACCAGCTCTGTAGTTTATCCTGCACCCAACACATGCCCAACTGCTGCTTCCAATAGAAAACTTACTTAAATAATTCAAAGAAATCAGAATTTGACATCAGCTTATTGTTTATTTGTGTCCTATATCAGAGTAGGTTCCATTTGTTTTTGTACATCTTTTATGCAATAGACTTACTTACAATGTTCATTATGTTCTTAGAAAAAATGAGCCAACAAAAGGCAACATATTTTGACATACTGGTACTTGCCACTGACTTTCCTGGTACAGTTGAGAATAAAATCTGCTTTAAACTCTATTATAGCTTTATCTTAATGGAAATCTGATTGTAACAACACTCCGCTACCACTGTGCAAAACAAGCCTTAATTGACTTATTTTGTAGTAGTAAAGAAATCCATGTACTGCACTACAATCTGTTTTTTATCCATAAAGTTGTTATCTTCATTTACCATCCCCATCACCTGAGAATGTGTGAAGCATGAACACAACACAGCTGTTGTTACCCATCAAAGTCTCTTAATGTTCGCATTCACTTTCAAAACCTCATTCTAAATTGCTGGGGAGGCTGCAGTACTACCCAATAGGAGCTTCTCCAACTGCTTTTTAATGAAGCCAATATTTCTGTTAGGTTTCAGTAAACACACAGGCCCTGAACTCTTAAAACATACACACACACAATCAATCTTACACAGAAAAGCTTTCTGAACTGTTGAGTAGTTTATCTCAGATAATTAGGTTGCTTAATATAAAAGAGTTGATTTATCTAACCCTCTAGCACTGGAAAACTAAGGATGAAAGCATGGCCTTAAGAGTTAATACTTAGATTTTTTCATTATTATTACTTAGAGGTTGACAGCTTCTTCAACAACCCAAATGTGAAGAGTTTGGCTTTCTACACTTGAAAACCACAGGGTAGGTCTGGTTCAACTGCCTATGGATCTACTTGCCTATCTGCTTGCTGCATCCCTAAAATGCATAGGACAAACAGCTTGAATCAAAGTCCTCACTCCATCAAAGTTCCTGCAACTTTGCCTAGGTTCCATCATCCGTAGAAAAACACGAGTAGCACACCCCTCTTCCTGGAGCTGCTGCATCCTTCTCTTACAAAACCAAGGAGATAATCGAGGACACGCAGTAACAGCATTACAGTAAGCACCATGTATGATTGTGGCAGCCAATTACAGTAGAGTGCACAAGCTCTACCACAGTGGATTTCTAACCTCTTTTAAGGCTGATGGCATTGGGCATAAAATGTGCTTCAGTGATGGGCAAGCTGTCAACAAACACGTAGTTTAACTGAACCAAGTTCAAAACTTTGAAAATTATTTATATAGTTACCATGAGGTACTAGCTTACCATTGGATATTACCTATTACGTTCTATTATGTAATTAAATATGAAGCTGAATCATGAAAAAGTATAAGCTGTTTTGCTGTAACAGCTCATGATTACCTTGCATTTTTGGTCGTTTGCTAAAGCTGATTTGTCCTTAAACCTGATATTTAATCTGCCACATATATTACAGAACAGCAGGTTCAGTTTCTTTGTGTGACTGACTTGAGCCCCCAACTTCACCTTACAACTTCACACCGAATAGTGCTTAGAAATGCAAAGTAAATTCCAAGTTTAGTGAATATTCACCAAATAGCCACTATGCTGAAACGCTCCCATTTTACAAGATACTTCAGTTCTCATGCCAACAGAAGGAAGGAGTTGCTAATACAAACCAAAGCATCACCAACCAACTTAATCCGCATCTGAACATTATGTTAAGATTTTTACCTGGAAAAAGGTGTTTTTTCTTGTCACAAAACTGGATGACCAAACACCATCATTATAACTGTCAAGAAACTGACTCCCTCCACTGACTTTCAGTCCAATTCTTTTCTTCACCAAAAAAAAAAATATGTGTGGTTGCACTTACTGTCAAAGAATAATACAGCATCTGCAGAGGCGCTGTCCGCTCCCTCCTACTGAAGGAGGGGGAGTTACTGGAGCAAAGTAAGCATGAACTTTCACATGAGGTAGATGAGCCTGTGGATGAAAAGCCTGGATATTAATGGCAGAGAAATACGCATAACTAGCAAAGAAGCAGTACACCTCAAGTACTGCCAATGTGTGTTCTCGTTAAGGTTGAGTTAGCTAAAAAGTATCTGTACATCTGAAACCCCCCAAGCTGCCTTCTGACACGTAATTCCTGTGCTCCATCTGGCTCAGGCACACTGATGCCTGGCCACACTTACGTGGTCAGGGTTCCCCCTTTTTTCCCAGCACAGCACTCATCAGCCAAAGAGCTTTCTACCAAAAGAAGCATGTATCTTGCCACAGAGGAGAGATGGACTTCAAGCTATTGAACAAAGACTAGTCTGTACCTTGTCTCCCATATTCTCTGTTTCTCTCATCCTGGAAAGCAACAGGAAATAGAACAGGGCATCTGCCCTCACCAGTCACTATCAGGGACAAGCTTTCCATTTGCAAGAGTATTTGGACAAAACTCTGTGTGATACTAAGCTGCAGGTGACTCTAACAGTAAGGCTAAATGCTGTCCCACCTCCTCCCCCCACTCTGTTATGCAGTCTCTGACTTAACAGGGCTGGTCATTGAAGAAAAGAGCTTGTGACCAGATTCCAAGACCTAACTGCCCTACAACACATTCAGTGAAATTGCCATGCAGATGTTTTACTATTGGCTCTGTATAGTAAGAGTGTATATTCTGGGAGAATTAAAAAAAGTCACTAAATCCTAAAACCATAGAAACATATTTAACATACATAGAGAAAGCAGAAGGCTCCTTTGCCTGAGACATCAAGCAAGTCAGCACAACACGTACTCGGATTCTTTTGATTCCAGCCCGCGTGACTTGCTGACAGTCATACAGCTCGATTCTCTCCAAGTTGTGGCAGTTCTCCAGGTGTTCCAGAGTTACATCAGTGATGAGAAGACAGTTATCAAGCTCCAGCACTTGGAGCCTCTCCTGACCACACGTACTGTTGCTCAGATGAAGAATCCCATCATCAGTGATCAATTCACAGTGAGATAAGCTCTAAAACAGAGAGGCAAACAGTTAACATCACTCAGTTCAAAACTACTCAATCCTCTAAATACCAGCAGTCTTCCTCAACCTCTTCCTATTGGTTAAAGGTCTACAAAGAATATAAAGCTTATTTCCAAAGCAGTAACAAAAGAATCAGTTGAAGTTAACAAAAGAGGAGCTGTATTTAATTTTTAATTTTGCTTCAAAAAGAGTACTTGAGCTGACAGTACCAAAAGATGCATCACTGGCAAACTCCTCAACCCCCTCTGCTCTTGATGATTGTGAGAGTTTAGTGTTGTGCACCTCAGTCACAGCAAGGCCTAAACGGCTATTCAGCATGCCAGAAACAGAAGCCAACTTCAAAAGTTGATCAAGAACATACAGGAATAGATAGGGATCTACTGACAGCAGTAACTTCCACAGCTACCACTATATGGTCACTTTTCATACACACCACTGGGACCAAGCAAGTGCAGGTCCACACAGATAAAGAAGTCCAGACTGATTTGCCAAATAAAGGTTTCAGGAAAACCATGAGTGTTTAGCACCTCAGGCTGCACATAAAAGGAGTAACAAATACCTTGCAGAGCTGCAGGAGCAGGTCTCCTCTGCAACAGCCAGCATAGTAAACCAAAAAATTCCACTCCTCTTCAGCGTACTTCTTTACTCCCTTGCATTTCAAGAGCATGGAAAAACTTGCATCACCTCAGGCAGTAGCACCACATAAAGCAGTTTCCTGCTTCCTTTAGGTAATTCATGACTTTTGGAGAAGCTCATGAAGCTCTGATAATGATGATAAGAAACAGCGTTCCTCAGAGGAGGCTTAAAAACTCCATTGTCAATGAAATGAACACTCTCAAGACTTCTGCACTGGGGACGTACAAAATCTACACACTCTTCTCACTGGGTCCTCACAGCTAGCTCTATGCTCTCTGCCCTGCCCTCTGCTTTGTATCTTGTATCTAAGCCTAATAGTGACTGGTTTTGAAGCGGCACTTCCTTGCTGCAAGTATTTTTCAGACAGCAACTGATGAAGAAATGCTTGCAGCAATCCAAAAGTACTTTTTAACTCAGCACAAGCAAACAACAGCACTAAGCAGTCCCTCTTGCCAATCACCTGAATCAAATATGTAATCCTTCCCTTCTTCTCTCCATATGTTGCATCTATCATCTTTTATCTGACAGGGAAGTCTGAGGACTGCCAGCTCTGGCTTACCCTTATTTTACCTCAGATAGAGTAATGAGCAGTTCTTGCCTGTTATCAGTGACACAGAACAACTCACCCTGCCCTTCAGAACAACTCACCTCTCAACTTTCTTTTTTCTCCTTTGCTCACCAGCATGAAGGATGAGTGAGTAACCACAGAAGAGAATGCGAGACAAGTCCACAACTATCTTCTTTCCTGCATCTCCAGCTGGTTCAATTTTATTCACTTATCAAGTGTAAGCAGACAGCAACGATGAGCAACACCACAACTAGTGCATACTGTCTCCAAAAGGCCAAAGAAATTAAAAACTTGACCCTATCAACAGCATTTTATCTTATATGATTACATTCTGTGAGTCTATTAACTCTTTAAATATTTAAGTTTTCTCTCCTATACCTACTTTCTTTTAGGATGTTTTGAGCATTTGAATTGGCTTACAGCCTGGAAACAATCAGCAATTTCAGGGTTAAAGATCATTTATAACAGACCTGCTGTTTCGAGGAAGGACAGAAGGTTATGTGAAGCTGTTGGCTATAGCAGCAGCTTGCTAGCTAATTAAGAGTTTTCCATCCCAGGAAGTAAGCAGCTTATAAAATTTCAGCTTTCCCGAGACACTGTATTTGGTACTGAAAGGACAATACAGGATGTGCAGCTGAGTTCACAAAACTTTGTAAAACAAATATGCAAAACATGTAATTTTTCTGACCTCATAAACTTGTTAAAAACTGTAAGTTTGACCTTACGAAGATTTTTGCTTGAAATATTTAGAATAAAGTGATAGGATCAAATTAATTTTTATTAATACATATTAAAGGCTGTGTGTATATCAAATATGGCGTGATATACCATGACAGTAAGAAACAGTATGATAAACTGAAGAATTCAACTGTCCTCATCACTAGGAATATCAAAAGAGTGTTTCACAGTTTCTCTAAAAATCTGAATGCACAAATGTTAAACACATGCACCAGAAATTACTTAAGCCCAGTAAGTAGTAAAGCATTTGTGTACTTTGACACCAATGAAGGTGTTAACAGTTGGTTATAATTGGTTTAACACTGCTTTTGCTTATTTCCACTGTCTACCAAGTCTCTGAACACCAAGGAATGCATTCAAAATTGTTTTATTCAACTTCAAAATACTTGTTTAAACTGCAAATACACCTAAACGTATATTAAACCACAGCCACATAACAGTTTACAGAACTATCAACAATTTCAAATCTAAAGTATCAAGATTAATTCATGTAGGTGACCCTGTTTTTTTAATGTCCCTATAATTCTCACCCATCACTGTTCATTCACAGTCTTCAAGTATTACTATACATAGGATATACACCTCAACAAAAATTTTAATTTTTACAGGTCCCCTAGAAAACCGTGTTATTTTACCACTGCCATACTTTGCTGTCTGTGGACTAACACACAAACAAAGGTATTCAGTGGTGCCAGCAAACAGAAGCAGGTTAATAAATGAAAATTATTAGTTTTTATGACCTCTCTGGTGAAGCACTGGCAGAAGTGGTACAAAAGATCTCTTGCATGTACTGATGACAATTGGGACTACAATACAAAAAGAAATACTCATTGCAAAAGAACAGACAGTGTCCCATATAAATGACTCCATATCTCTTGTCAACCCTTGTTTGGATTAGCATTACGAATTATGGGACATAAATGAGGTGGGACAATGAGCAAACAAAAATAAAAAAGCAACAACAACAAATTGTTGGACTTGATGATCCTTATGGGTCCCTTCCAACTTGGGATATTCTAAGATTCTATGAAATAATGAATAAGGCTCCCTTGTAAAAGTAATCTCTCCTCATGTTGCTACCTTAGTAACACTGAGCTGGAAAAGCCAATCATAAGACAATTCAATTAATGAAGCAGCAAACCTTCCTCTAATCCCATCTAAGAGCAGATTATAAAGATACCTGTTCTCACAAGTACATTCACAGTAGCATATCACAAATCTACACTTACGGTCAACTGGCCCTAAATGCAGGAGCTCCTACTCTATGGATGGTCTAGCAATATTGGTGTACCTTTAAAGAATAGACAATTTTAAGCCACCTGACATTTTAATGTTCTGAAAAATCTAACCAACCACTCCCTAAAAAACAGTTCTTTGAAATATGGTAAGTAGAGTACCCCACTGAAGGCATCTCAATCCTCTCCAGTTACTTCTGAAACGTCAAAAAAAAGTTCCACAATTTACTAGGTAAACTTAGACCTTGGTTAGAACTGCTTACATGCAAAACTGATTACAGAATGGGATTTGGATTTATCTTTACTTGATGATTTTATTTTTTTTAGTTTTTGTTTATTCAGTATTTGACTTGCTTCAGTCTGTAACTTGAAGTTTCATACTCCCTAAAAAAAAACTTTAGTAAACACACAAGAGTATCTGAGTACATTAAATTGCCTATATTTTGTTTGAATTAAGGAATCACATATGAAGGATGTTAACCATAAAATATAAGCTTTCTGGTTATTACTCACTGTAATAGCCAGAGGAAATGATTTTTATCACATAATTATAAATATTATGGACTATATGATACATAAATTATTATATACAATTTTTTTATAACAAATAATTACATTTTTAATTTATTTTATCACAATTTATTTAACCAAAGGTAATGATTTTTATCACATAATTTATTTAATTATTTCAGTAGTAATCTGCTTCTTTTAGAACACTTGTGAAACCTGCCTATTTTTTGAATAGTATAATTCTACTTCAGGAAACATATATATACAGAGTGGATAGCCTGTTTTTTATGTCACAGACACACAGCTATGTCATATGTCATCGCAGTCCAGTATACATACAGTTTGGGGTTGTGTGTTAAATTTCATGTACAGAAATTAAACTTACCAATGCTTGTAGTTTAGGACAGTGTATTGAAAGTTGTATCAATGTGCTGTCAGTTATCTAGGGAAAACAAAAACATAAGTTACTGACAGTGGTGAGGGCAACACTCAAGTAAGATATCCCTTTCTGTAACAGATGAAAGCTGTTTTATCTCTGTCATGCACTTTTCTGAAAAACACACAATCACCTCTTGGTGATCACCTCATGGCCTCAAGTTGCGCCAGGGGAGGCTTAGGTTGGCAATTAGGAGACACTGGTTCTCAGAAAGAGTATTCAGGCATTGGAACTGGTTGTCCAGGGAAGTGGTGGCATCACCATCCCTGGAGGTGTTCAAGGAAAGGTTGAACCTTGTGCTTAGGAACATAGTTTAGTGGGTGACATTGGTGCATGGTGATGGCTAGACCAGATGATCTTGAAGGTCTTTTCCAACCTTAATGATTCTATTTCCTTGTATAGAATTTCCCAATAGTTATATTTTTACTCTCAATACCACAGCACTCAGAAAAAAAAAACAAAAACAAACCAACAAACAAACAAACAAACAAACAAACAAACAAAAAAACACCAAAACCGCCACAGGATATTTATCTCAAAGTGCTGATGTTCTTATTGGCATTACATCCTTACACTGAATGTTTGATATTTCCTTTTCCTATTAAATCTCACCAAAACACATTCTTCCAAGTCCATTTTCTCCAGCTCATGACAATTCTAAAATTGAAAAAAAATAATAAAAGGATAAATAGAAGATGAAATAGAACATATAGCTGTGAGATCATGCACAGGGCTAGTGACATGGGAAAGAACAAACTTCAAGAAGAAATTGAGAGCTAAATCCCTATAAGTATTAGACAACCAAAGGACAATTATTAATAATAATAAAAAAAAATACAAAAAACATAAGCAATACACCCCCCACCACCTGCTATGCTTTTGGTCTGTTCTCTTACTAAGGGATGTTTCTCCTATTTGCCCTGTGAGGTTTGCAATAGTATGTGAACAGAATTGAACTATCCTTGCTTTCTTCCCTCCTCTTGAGGTCAACTTCAATTCAATCCTATAGTATTTATTGCATCTCTATTAAAGTTAACTAATCTGCATACAGATGAATCCAACTTCTGTGTACATCAACCTGCATCAAACTAATCTGAAAGACACTTAAGCCTGTAAAACCTCTATTTATCACCATGCTTTTAGAATGAAGCCTTAAAACAATTTGTTTTGATACTGAATGACAAAAATATTAAAATAAGGTCTACTTTAAGGCTGGGAGAAAGCTGCACTTCACTTTTTCTTTTGTTCCCAGTAATAATACAAGCAATTTTCCCAGTATTCCAATGTTCTTAGAGATCTCTAGCAAACTTTTAGAAGTACTTTCAATAGCTGATCATGACTAATTTCAAGAAAATTATGTAACCTTGTGACCTCATAGCAGACCACTGTCCCACTGCTCAGACCTACCCCCAGCCCTTATTGTTAGCAGGCACAGGAAGAAACGGTTTAATAGCAGCTCCTAGAAGCAGGCTTCAGGTGACTACTGGAAGACCAGGGCTGTACTGGTGAATGATTAGAAAACCACCTTGTTTAACCACTGTGGTTGGAAAGACTCTCATTCATGCTAAATATCATTAGTATAAATTAATCCTGTCTACAGAGTATTATTATTTTTGTGTCCAGATTTCTCAAACCAGCAAGCATACAAGTATAACTTTAAGCACTTGATATAATCAGTATGTTTACTTATGTACAGCATGAATCCCGGCACAAGTCCTTACAGTTTACAATACGTGGCTAATAGTTGTTGGTTTTTTTTGTAGCTTGAAAGTATGGTCTGAATAACCTATTCTATGATGATTTCAGGTCTAAACATGACAAGGTATGTGTCGTGTTTATATGAGAAATTTGGCTAGAATGAGTAATGCGATTTTAGAATTGTTATGCTAAGCATAACAAATCCAACTTAAATATACCAAAAAAAAAAAGAGAAAAAAAGTGAAAACAAGTAGAGAAGTATAGCAAAACAGATCGAATCACAGCTCTAAGTACAATAACGAAATAAAATAAATTTTTGTCCCCTCCTCCACTGGATTCTTTGTCCTCTATTTTTCTTCTTCTCATATTCATTCCCAGCAGGACTACATCAATTCACAGCTGCTCAGCAGCAATGAAAACAAAGTAGGCTCTAACTTTCTGAAATGGCTCTTACCCGTGCTAAAAGGGTAAAACCAGCGTCTGTAAGATGTGAACATCTTGCAGCTTCCAAAATCCTGAAAAAGTTTTCAATATTAAAGAAAACATTAATACAGAGGAAAGCAAATGTATTTGAGACATACATCTGCCTTATAAAATTTAAAATAAATAAATACTTATCTGTATCTTATATCTTAATAGCAAACACACATGCCTATTTTTCACAGTGATTTGCAATTAAGAAGCACTAGGCAGATTTGGATCCAGTTTATAAGAAGAGTCTAATAATTACAGTGCAGATGAAATTTAATACTCAAATTTTCTCAATATTTAGTGAAAAGAAGTATGCATAATTGTAGGTATTTTCACGTCTTGTTTCAGTAAGACAGCAAAATTCTTATGTTTTCTCAAGTGTTACCTTAGCAACTATATGCAAGAATACACCCTGAGTCAAGAAAAACACAGACAAAAGCTGCATCTAAAACACGTCATTTAAACACAGGAAGTTGGGAAGCCACAGAACTAAGAAACCGCGTACTAGAAATTTGTCCTCAGAGCCTGTGCACAAAGCACTGTGAAACTAGTCAACAGAAAGCAAAGAGCTTAAACTATCAAAGGCCAAAGCAAAACCAGTAACTACTGCTGCAGGAAGAACGGCAGAAAACATGACATGCCAATATGGTCAGATCATGCTCTTCCTTTATTACCCGAATAGCCTGACTTTTATAGCAAATTTAGCAGGGGCAGATAGTGTCTCACACAAGATTATTGGTCAAAAGCACTCAGACAAACAACTGCAAGAAAAGAACCCCCTTGTGATTAGCAGTCATGTAGATCTTGTCCTTGAAGCCAGCTGCTGGCAATAATATTTCTAATTCCTCAATCGGGCAATAAGGGAACATCGTAATGGCAACTCCTTGTAGTCGTCCTGGTAGCTTGGTTTGCTCAGATGCAGCAAGGCATGGCCTCCTTGCTGTTTCAAAGATTTCTCAACAATCCCCCCTTTTTGAGCAAACCAAGCCCAATGTTAACAGTTTTGCAAGTAACCTTTTAACCACATTACAATACAACACGCAATGATGATTAACACCACAATAAACAGAATCCTTAATCCCTCTTTGATTAATCCCAGTAACCATCTAGGCATCGTCCCAAACAAATCAGTAAGCCATTGATCAAAAGGATTAATATTGTATTGAATCTTTCCCATGTGCTCTTTCAGGAAAGTAATAGATTTGTGAACTGACTCACTATAATCAGAAAGGTTCAAACAGCACATTCCCTCAAAGTCCTCACACCCATGCCCTTGAGCCAAGAGCAAGAAGTCAATAGCAGTTTGAGCCTGTAAAAGCACATGTAGCAGACTATTTTGATCTGGTAACATCTCCTCAAGTATTTTTGTCGTGGCATTGGCTTGCTTCTTGGCCCAGCACGCCAATTTTTCTAAATTATGGCATGCAGCCGCAGCTGCTGCTCCTGGCATGAAAATTGCTAATGCCGCTCTAGCCGCAACACCAAGCAACTCAACATTATCATTGCAATCTGGTGTGAGCACTGTCCATTTATGTCTAGTGATCTTACGCAATTGTGACAAGCTAGGAACAAATATAGTAAGTTTATCTAAGTAACAGCATGTAGCAGCATGGACTCCTGCAAACACCATTCCAAATGATCCTGAGCCATCAGCATACTAGTATCTCCTGGTTCCTGCCTGCTCATCTCAATACTCTGGGAACGACCCTTACATACTAACTCCACGATAGCTTCTGCCCGTGTTTGAACACTCGTTTTTGGCTGAATCGGTAGAAAAATTCACTCCAGGACTCAAAAATCCTGTCCTATCATTCCACTCTTGCTATCTCCTGTTTCACTTTTGCTATTCCTATTACCAGTGCTGTTAGTGTCAGTGGCATCCTCCTGACACTGTTTCTTTGTTGCCCCTTACTCTCCGCCTTTCTTTTTGCCACTGACCAAGCACCACAAATGGATGAGACACATGATTGCTAACTAGTAAGGAGAGTGCAACTTCTGCTATACGTGTGCAAGCAGCGCCAGCTGCAACCTTAGAAACTATTTGTGAAAGAGCCTGCCATTGCTCATTGGCTAATTTAACCTCTTGCTCTGTGCTTCTTCCTCACAATAAAGGTAACAATATAGCTAAGTTGTCATTAGTAATCCCTACAATGTGCCGAACCCATCGAATATTACCCAAGAATGTTTGTACATCCGTCAAATTATGTAACACCGTAGATGTATCAACTTTCTGTGGACAAATAGTAGAGTCTGTTATTTTCCATCCCAAGTATAGCCATGGCTTTTTCCGCTGAACCTTCTCTGGGGCTATCGTCAACCCTTTTGCTTCCAACGTATTCTGAATAAACTTCAAATCTGAATCCTGGAAGCACTCTGGTCTACAAAACAGAATGTCACCCATATAATGGTAAATAATTATGTCACACCACGCTGTCTGAATTGGTTCTAATGCCCAGGCCACATATAATTGACATAATGTAGGGGAATTCTTCATCCCCTGCAGAAGCACTAGCCATTCATAGCACATTGCCGGTGCTTGTTTGTTAATGGGGGGTACTGTAAAAGTAAACCTCTGGCAGTCCTTTACAGCCTGTGCCACCACAGATGCTTGCCTGGACTGATCAGCGCTCTCTATCCTTTCCAACATATCCTCTACCAGTGCAGTTCTCAGCAGTGTAACTAAGATATTTTGAGTTTTGGGGTTTGCATTATCAAATGCAACCATTTTAAACACACTGCTTTTAGGCTCCGCTGTTAGATCAGGATGATCAGGAATTGCTGCCCACAACCGGTCGATAAATTTAGCATATGATTCCCCAGGGGCCTGTTGTACTGATGCGAATGGAGGTGCTTTATTTTCTCCTGGGAGACCAAGAAGAGCCATAATTAGCATAATTCAGGTCACATTTGTTACCCCTCTTACTCCTTTCATCATTCACTTGCTTTTAACCCCATCTACTCTGAAAACCATTAGATTCCCTACACTTCTGACTTTAAAGGGGAAAAATAATGATACCTACAGTGGGCGTATCAGTGGGGATGCTACTTACAGCACAGCCAGTTGAAAAATTCTGAAGAACAATGAAGCAGGGGATAAGAGACCAGAAGACTAGCAGCTCTACCCTTCCTGAAACTGGGTGAGCAGTCAGTTGGAAGAGCAGAACGGGGAGAATGAGCTACATACCGGCACACTGCGTCAGGTCCCAGTATGAAAAACCAGTAGAATGGCGCTGGTCTGCACAGAAATGAGTGATTTTTAATATTTGCTTCATTTTAGTGACTGTATTTAATTTTAGAGGGCTCCAGGGATTTTTTTTTTTTTTTTTTTTTTTCCCCAGATACTGCTGGCCTCTATTTCTTATCCACTGATTTGTGTCAAAGTATTTAGCATAGGAGCTGAATAGGCAAATTATACCCCAGAGTGGATTCCCTATTCCTATAAATGAGTGTTCTCTGAGACAGACCTCACAGCAGCACTCATCATCTACAGATGTCTTTTGGGCACACCTGGAGCATCCCCCTGCACAGCGCCTCTCCTTATTGTTTGTGATTTAGCAGCAGGTGTGCAACATTGGTGGTGCTAACAGCAACATGATCCTAATTTTCACAGCCATATCTAGACAAAGATATTCTGGAAGCAGCAGTGTTCACAGGTGCTTTTCTCAATAAGCCTCACCAAAAAAACTACCAGTATTTTAACACTAAAAAAGTTTAAAAAAAAAATAGAAAAAAGGTATCTAGCACTTACAGTAGATTTTACAAAAGCTATCAGGAGACTGCCATATCTTGACATGGGGTAAAAAAACAGCTGAAGGGAGTTGGTCAAGTTTAGTATTTGTTTTCCAGAAGAGTGGTAACAGCTGCAGAGCACAGCACTATCCCAGAAAAAAAAAAAAAACATAGTAGGACATCGAAAACCCCAAAGTCAAGTGAGAGTGGCACAACACTGAAAGCGTTCAAAAGTTTCCTAGCACAGCCAGCATGTCCAACAGCTGCATGAGAGTTAGGTTCTTGCAAGTTTTCTTTCATACTCAACACTAAAATACTCAGAAGGCATGAACAAGTCTGGAATTACATTACTGTTCGATTTCCAAGTTGTTTTTTTGTTTTGTTTTGCTTTGTTTTAAATCAAGTATTTTCAACACACGATCCCAAAGGCCTAGATCTACCACCCATCTTTCCACCACAGGCTCCTTGGCAGTCATCACTGCAAAGGGTCAATTTCCTTTCCTTATACTTTACCTCTTTACAGGAGGAAAACAGCAGAAGCCTTCCCGCTTGTTGCCCAGACAGGGACTAACAGGTTTCATAACAAATGCAGGCTTGCCTGCATGAATGACTATTTCCTATTTATAAGATATTAAATATTCTTCTAAAGAAAAATGATTCTTGCTAAGCTTGTACTCCCCCTAGAAAGAACTGTGCAACACTTTAGACTTCCTTTAATTTCCCATGTAAGCTGTGCATTGAGATAATTGGAGCGATCACATAAGAAGACCAGTAATAACAGCACAACTTCCTAAGGAATACAGTTAAGTGTGACAAAAGTTTCCTAAGCCCCCAACATAGGAATACATAAGCTCTTGTGAGTATGAATGGTTATGCGAAGGAGACCATCACTTTATAGTTGTCTTAAGGAAAGGTTTCCTAAAGTGACAAAAGCTCTTTTTAATTCAGACAGATACTCTGATCTTCAGCATACTGCACACTGGCATCTGAATGTAGTTTCCCCTAATTTTTATAAACTTTGTTTTGCTCCATTAATTTGTGATTTGTGAATAAAAAGTGGCAATTCCTGCATGTTCCTGTCAGAAATAGCAATTTAGTGTCATCCAAAGATCTTTTGTTTTGACTTTGTTTATATTAAAATTAGACCTTACAATTCATATTACTTGCCTCTTCAACTAGACCTGCTGCACAACTGAACTTCATTATTAACGCTGAAACTTTCCCCACTTCAGAGAATACCACCATAATATACATGAAAATACAAACTGTATCAATGTATCAATCTGCCAGGCAGAGAAGGACCTGGGAGTGATGGTGGATAGTCGGCTGAATATGAGGCAGCAGTGTGCTCAGGTGGCCAAAAAGGCCAACAGCATCCTGGCTTGTATCAGAAACAGTGTGACCAGCAGGGCTAGGGAGGTGATCGTTCCCCTGTACTCAGCTCTGGTGAGGCCGCACCTCGAGTACTGTGTTCAGTTTTGGGCCCCTCGCTACAAGAAGGACATCGAGGTGCTTGAGCGGGTCCAGAGAAGGGCGACGAAGCTGGTGAGGGGCCTGGAGAACAAGTCCTACGAGGAGCGGCTAAAGGAGCTGGGCTTGTTCAGCCTGGAGAAGAGGAGGCTCAGGGGCGACCTTATTGCTCTCTACAGATACCTTAAAGGAGGCTTTAGCGAGGTGGGGGTTGGTCTATTTTCCCATCTGCCTGGTGACAGGACGAGGGGGAATGGGCTTAAGTTGCACCAGGGGAGTTTTAGGTTAGATGTTAGGAAGAACTTCTTTACCGAAAGGGTTGTTAGACACTGGAACAGGCTGCCCAGGGAAGTGGTGGAGTCACCATCCCTGGAAGTCTTTAAAAGACGTTTAGATGTAGAGCTTAGGGATATGGTTTAGTGGGGACTGTTAGCGTTAGGTCAGAGGTTGGACTCGATGATCTTGAGGTCTCTTCTAACCTAGAAATTCTGTGATTCTGTGATTCTGTAATGTGAACGTTTATATTATTTTTAATTGACAGATAATTCACATATGTTAATGACATAATAAAGCCATGGCTGCTTTCCTTCTCCCAGCCCTTTTGTGCTGCTGAGGGGGAGGGAAGCCAAATGCAAACATCCCTCAAGCAGCATGATTCCCTGCTCTGGGGGAGGCTCCAATTAAAACTAACTTCAGTGCTATCCCACTGACAGATCCAGCCCCTGGAATGTGCAAGATGGAGACAAAGCCAATACCTTAACTCCACATTGTAATTTGCTGTTTTAAAAGTATATTAGCACTTGCCCTAACAGATACTAACAAAAAGGTTGGAGAAGAACCAGCCTCAGATGACAAGAATTCCAACCAGTTTTTGAGCCCGATACACAAAATTTATCCCAGAAACACAAGTCCTCAGTGCTTACAGTGGCATTAGTGCACTCCATGTCATTGTTTAAGAATACCAGGATACATATTACTACAGAGCATATTAAAAATGCATTTATAACAAAATCTGTAAATACAATACTTAAGTATAACTTTTTATACTTTATAATGTTATTTTTTTCAAGACAAATCATATAAAACCACATTAAAAATATCACAAGACAACTACAGATACTTTTACCTTAAAAAATAGGCTTTAGATCTTCTTTCATCTGGCTCATAATAAGTACACAACATTCAGCTAAAAGCACAGAATTGAACCGCTAGGTTCAAGATGGTTTATTTGTCTTTTTTTTTTTTCTTATATACAGTAGACTACATTCATATGATAGCTACACTGAGAACCAGCCCTCTAGTTTAGATTCAGCTGGTACCTCTAACTTAATGTTTTGATTGTAAAGGTAATCAGAACAACACAAAACTAAATCAAACCTGCAGATATCTGCCATTATCTTCAGAAGTGAATTTCTTAGATTAGGCCAGAAATAACATGACATACATATGACGTGCTCATGACATACTCACTTCAGCCTTGGGCAGTTTAGACCAAGTGCTGTGAGAGAAGCATCTGTAAGGTTGCTACAGCCAGAAACACACAGTGACTGAAGTCTATGGCATCCTCTACAGATTTTTACAATACCCTCATCTGAAATTTGCTGCAACACAGAAAAAGGCTGAAGTTATCAAGTCATCTGTCAAGAACAAAAATCAAGTCATATTACTGAACTTTGTGTCACATTGTATATAACCATGGCAACTTGTGGCTTTTCAACCACAACATAACATCATGATACCATGTTCACTGATAACACTGAAGATAATCAACACAGGAGTTTCCTACTTATGCATTTTTCCACAGACCTGGAGAACTGCTCAAAGGCAGCCTGAAGAACAGAGGAAGTTTTTTTTTTAATTTGTATTTGCTTTATAATTTTCACATAACGCTTTTTTTTATTTTTTCTCCAAATTGTAGTTATCATCATGTCAAGTATCTTATTTCTTATACACCTGTAGAGTTCAGGTCTTTCATTCCAATGACTCTGCAGGTAAGTTTATTAACAATGCAAAAGAGAGCTTAAAATCTCAATGCAGGACAGGGAACTACCTATTTTACATTGGAGCTATAAGACCCATGGATAAAAATCCTTCACTTACAGTTTGATTCAAAGAACTAGGTTTTTCATTTGTCAGGAGTGTTCTGTACTAGATATTCTTAAAAAAAGTAAATCTCAAACTGGGAGACAAATAAAAAAATTCTCTCGGAAACAGATGCTGTAATAAATAGCCCCAATGCAGCTGCACACAAAACAGCAATAGGAACTAGATTATTGGATATGTGTGTGCAAATATTTATTTATATGCACTCTATTCTGGAAGGTGTTCTTCCCTCCTCCCACTCCTACTCCAAGAAATTTAATTTTTCTGCTGAATGGACTGATCCTTCACAGTGAGATAAGCCTATTTTATTTCCTGAACTAGTATTACTCTTGCAACAGTAGCAAAGCCTGCTAGCATCTTCCAAATTAAAGTACACATTCCTTTTATAAGCCACCCATCTAGGTATGCTAACACCACTATAGCATATTTCTGAGGCTAACCATTACCACAAACATTACATTTTGTAGAAGAAAACAGGATGAGAAATCATATTTCAGCACAAAGGGACATCACCTTATGATCCCCTCAAAACATCATTTTTTAATAGCAGCAGTTTGAATTTGCAAATTGTTCTGTCATATAAAAATTATTCCAGACAGAAAGCTAGAAATCCTGTCTTCTTTTTGTGGATCCATAAGGACTTGCATTAGCTATAGAAGCTAAGCTTTTATTAATAATATTTATTGTTATTAAAAGTCGAATGTAAATCAAGCATTTTCTGGCTTTGACTCAAAATTTGCTATTTTCGGGATTTTTTGTTTCGTTTTGTTTGAGAGAGATTCATGACATTATTATTGGGAAAATGAACTATTTTATAGGTAGGGACTACATAAAACTCTATGCTGCTGCTGCAGATGGGCAAAACGTTCAAGTAATATATAGAAATGCTCTTATTCTGAAATTACTTGTGATTTCAATGCCTATATCCCTCTCAGGAAAGAAAAGTGGCCAAAAACGTCTACAAGCTTCTACACTCTAAAGATGGTACCTTTCAGATGAACAGTTTCCACAAGTATTTGGAATTTATCAGTATTTGGAACAGAGAGCTTGTGGATGCCCCATCCCTGGAGATTTTCAAGACCAGGTTGGACAAGGCCCTGGACAACTTGACCTAGTGGCAACCCTGCACATTACCAGGAGGCTTGGGACTAGATGATCCCTAAGGTCCCTTCCAACCCAAGCCGTACTGTAATTCTATGACAATCAGTGGACAACTTGGTGAGTAAGGAATTGGCAGGATGGTTGCACTCAAAGAGTTGCAGTCAATGGCTCAACGTCAAAGGGCTCAACGTCAAATGGCTCAAGTGGAGATCAATAACAAGTGGTGTTCCTCAGCAGTTAGTAAGGGGACCAGAGCTGTTTAACATCTTTGTTGATGACATGGACTGTAGGATCAAGTGCACCCTCAGAAAATTTGCTGATGATACCAAGCTGTCTGGTGTGGTTGACACACTTGGAGGGAAGGGATGACATCCAGAGGGATCTGGGCAGGCCTGAGAGGTGGGCCTGTGCAAACCTTATGAGGTTCAACAAGGCCAAGTGCAAGGTCCTGCTTCTGGATCAGGGTAATCCCAAGCACAAACACAGGCTAGGAAGAGAATGTATTGAGAGTGGCCTGAGGAGAAGGACCTGAGGGTGTTCCCTGATGAGAAGCTGAACATGAGCCGGTGATGTGCGCTTGCAGCCCAGTAAGCCAACCATGTCCTGACCTACATCAAAAGCAGTGTGGCCATCAAGGCGAGGGAAGTGATTGTTCCCCTCTGCTCCGTTCTCGTGAGATCCCACCTGGAACACTGCACTCTGGGGCCCCCACCACAAGAAGGACATAGATGTATTAGGATGAGTCCAGAGGAGGGCCACAAGGATGCTCAGAGGGCTGGAGCATGTCTCCTATGCAGAAAGACTGAGGGAGTTGGGATTGTTCAGCCTGGAGAAGAGAAGGCTCCAGGAAGACCTTACAGTGGCCTTCCAGCACCTAAAGGGGACCTGCAGGACAGCTGGGGAGGTACTCTTTGACAGGGAGTATAGCGATAGGACAAGGAGCAATGGCTTTAGACTTAAAAAGAGTAGATTTGGATTAGGTATTAGAAATAAATTCTTTATTCAGAGAGCGGTGAGGCACTGGAAAAGGTTGCCCAGAGAAGTTGTGGATGCCCCATCCCTGGAAGTGTTTAAGGCCAGGTTGGATGGGGCTTTGGGCAACCTGGTCTGGTGGGAGGTGTCCCTGCCTGTGGCAGGGAAATTGGAATTTGATGCTCTTTAAGGTCCCTTCCAACCCAAACCTTTGATTCTATAAGTTAATTTCACAGAAACTGGAGCTGGCCTACCATTTAAAAAAGATCATAAAACAGATCCACTAGAATTAAAGTGTGGATCATATGAAGCACATGGAGACCTGCTGTGTAAAAATCAATGCTAGCCCTTTGATAACAAAGAGCCTAAATGCTTCCGGAAGTATGCTTCTAAGGACAGCAAGTTCTCTAGTGAAATAGAGCTTCAAAGCACACACAACTAGGTAGTACATACAAACTATCAACTCAAACAATTCAAAAGGAAAAACACTAACTTTTTTTTTTTTTTGAAGTTAATCCTACATGACAACTAATGGAAATTGAGCCAATGGAAATGGCCCAATTGAAAACTCCAGTACACTTCTATGCCAATGCCCCTTTTAGGTGGCAGAGATCAGAACTGAGTATTATCAGACTTCAAGAGCCTCCTGCAAAAAAACTCATAAAAGGCTGCAACCTGCTATCATGAGACCCTGGTAAAACACAACAGAAAAAGAAGCTATGAGGAGGAGGACAAAATGAAGAGTGAAAAGAAAGGAAATTATGGCCTACCTTTTTTTTTTGTATTTGTGGTTCTGACCAAAAATAAGGAAATTCTATTCATTTCCATTATCATTATGTTACAACTGCAGTTTCCTTTTCTTTTTTTTTTTTCTGAGAAAGTTAAAGGTTTGAAACAAATTTCAGATTGAAAAATCTGAGAATTTTCTTTCCTTAGACGTGCCTCATTGAAGCTTAACATTTGTATTCATATTGTTCCTAATTTCTTCAAAATTTAAGGTAACTTGTAATAATCCCTAATACTTCAAAATAATCAAAACTTTTTTTTAGTCTATTAATTTAATCAAAAATTTCCATCAAATCTTAAGAAAAAATGGTCCCATGCCACATTAATTGAGGAAACAGATTTCAATGTTTGAGCCCAAGCAGATTTTATGACACAATAAATTAGCAATAAAGCTGTAGAAAATTTTCCAAAAGCAAAAAAAAGAAAAAAACATTTGAAGTTGTATGACTGAAAAACTGAAACTTTAATTTATTTCAAACTTTACTAAGGATTTACTAAGAGTGACTTAAATACATTTCAAGCCTAAAAAGATCTCTCTCCACTCCTAAAAAGTCACATCAGGAACAACAACAAAAAAGGCAAACATAAACCACAGCAAATTTAATTTTTGTGTATTCTTTAAGTAGAATTAAACAAACATGCATGATTCCCAGTTATTTCATTACAAATCAATGTATTCTTTCATTAATGCTGAAAAAAAACCCATGCCCTTCTGCTACTTAGATGGTTCTGAATCATCCTGTTATGATGACATTGCATTTTATTCTCCATTATGTAGCCCACAATATGGCTTCTGCTCCATTAGAAACCTTAAAACTATGAACAGAGCAAAATGTTTGACCTTAACATACGGGAGAATATGAACTACATCTGTAAAACTGTATGTTTTAATACATACATAAATCATCTGAGTTGAATGAACAGTTAATTCATACTCTGGAGCTTGCTAGAGTGAAGGTGGAATGAGGAAAAATAACCCAACACTCCAAATCTACATTCAGCTGTGGAATAGACAGTTCATTTTAGATATCTATTATCTAAATTATCTAAATTTAGATATCTATTCCACATAAAATTCTGCAAACTGCAGAGATGTACAATTTGAATTATTTAAGTATGCAACAACTAAATTCATTAGCATTTGAAAATGGTTTAGATTTTTAGATAATATACCTTTTAAAGTTTCAAATACTTACTGTGCAGGACTGCAAATTCAGGATTGAAAGTTCATGACAGTGATTTTGAATGTGTTTCAGTGCTTCATCTTCTAACTGTATTAGCAATTAAATTGGACATAGGAAAAGAAACAAGAAATTAAAAGCAAACCAAACTAGACAAAGGAGTGCACACATCTTGTAATATTGAACAAAAGATTGTAACAAAAACCAATATTTTTTAATTCATGAAGATTTCAAAAAGCCGAAAGAAAAAATGTATTTCTAAAGGATCACCCAAGCAGTTATGTACCTGTGTGCAACCTCTAAGAAATAGTGCTTTTAGTCCACTACACCCTTTCACCAGTGCTTCAATACCATCCTTTGTAATCTGATCACACCAGGAAAGATTCAAATGTTCCAGATTTCTGCAACCCTCACTGGGAGAATTAAAAAAATACATAAAGTTAAATCCAGCCTTCAAATAGTCATAACAGTGGGAAACCCAAATTAAACACACTGTTAGAAGTTAATGATAGCCAGTGGACTGTGCCAGGCCTCTACAGAAAAGCCATGAGAAAAGACCACACACAAACATCATTGTCCACACCCAAGAAGTGCTAGATACAAGATACAGTCAGTGCTGATGCACAATATTAAGGCTCAGCACTGTGTTGTTTTTTTTTAAAAAAACAACTTTATTATATATTGAACAGCTCTTTCAATTATTTTCTTTAATACAAAACACTAAATCTTCTTACCTTAAACCTTTCAAAGCGCTGTTTGTGATGGCTACACAAGATGTCAGATCCAGATGTTTCAGCTTGGAACAGAATCTGCTAAGACTGTAACATGTACTGCAAAACAGCAGACACACTAAAAATACCTTCAGCTACTTCTTCTTCCAAATTCCACTAACAAACAAAAAAACTCTTTGACTTACCTGTCAGTGATTTTTGTGCACCCATTTAGATTTAAGTGTTCAATGTTTCTACAGTTCTGTGCAAAGGTCCTAAAAGAGCAACAAAAAGCTAGAGAATTACTGTTATGCCTAGTGACTGAATTACTGTTATAATTTAGTTGAGTGCACTCTGTCCCCTAATGAATTCCATCTCAGGGAAAAAGCTTGCTCTTCAACCCATAGAGTAAAACATCTGGTTCAGTGGCTGCTTTTTCATTTTGCTATTGCAAGTTCTGTCTTGAGTAACTCTAAAACCAAGTGTTCTTCCTCTCTCAAATACTGCTTGAGCAAGGTGCTTATTTCTGTCATTGAACAGAACGGATTTGCTTCAAACGCCATAACTAAAATCATTAAGGGAATGAACACAAGGGTTGAAATATCACATCAGTTAAATACTAAGCATACTTAAGCTTCTGGGGAGAGTTTTCATATATCTTGTTACTGAAATTTCTGTAGGTCTTATTAAGGAGCTGACTCCCACATCAAATGCAAATGCAGGAATGTAGCCTGCACAACACAGAATTGGGCTTTAAGTCGCCTGGACTACTAAGGGAAAGCCCTGGGAATTGCAAATTGGTTATTTATTATGTTAAAAATTAAAATGCATCTGTATGCATTACTGTGTATGTACACTAAAGATGATTGGAGCTATTACACCACTAAAAGCCTGTATATATCATTATACTAATTACCCAGAAGAAATGTATCAACTTCCTTTTCATCTTTACAGAGCAATATTTACAGCTGCACTGCATTTCAGAGCACTGTTTTTATGCCCATGTTTCCTCCAACTGCATGGATTTTATTGGCAGTGATGGAGGAAACACACAAAACAGTTTTGTCTGGAGGCTTGCCGTGGTTAGCAGATCCAACTACACACTCAGCGGGCAACAACTTCCTGGCTCTCCAGTGTGGATTGAAAACAATGGGGAAAAATAAATAAATAAAACAGCAAGCAGTTATACTGGTGATAGTTTCCACGTGAATTCTCAAAACAGCTATTCCAAAATTCACGTAGTGGAGTGAGATTTATAATCGAGACTTTTTTCAAATCAGTTGGAAAGATGCTACACTCTGTAATAATTTGCAGGAACGGTAAACAGACTTTGAGATTCAACTGTGGGGCATGTCCTGACAGAGCCACAAACATTCAGTACTTGTATAGCCAATATAACCGACTTTGATGACTGCCTTTTTTTAAACTAAAGGCGGATGTAGAGGAAGGATAAAATGAGAAATTAGTACCAGCCCCAAAACTAATGGATCAGTGCAAAACTGATAGGTAAAGCTTCTTTCAGAACAAATACCCCAAAATTAAAGCCATTTCTCATATTACTGTTTTGAAAGTCTTAAAGTTCACAGCTTTATCATTCATTGGGTAATTCCAGTATCATCTGATTACATTTCAGGGGTAAAGCATCATCTTTCCTAAAGTTTCTCAGACACTACCATCTGCACTAGTTAGTAATTATGGATGCACTTATGCGTACTGCTAGCAGTACAGTAGCTGGTCTCAGCCAACCCTGTCCATTTTCTTATTTGCATCAATCTACACATGCTACATACCGAACAACTACAAAAATATCTCTTTACTAAATATATCACTATTCACAAATATTGTAAATCATGCCATCTTCCTCCTCTCATACACCACTAATATCTGAACCCATTTGAATTCTTTGGTTCTGGCCACAACCCCCACTGCAGTCCCCTAGCCTTAGTGTTCTGAACAGCAGTCATGAGCATAGAGTGAATACAAAAACTGAATTAATCGGGAGGAAAACTGTTGCCTACCTGTCCTCTTTCCTCCAACACCCGTATTTCCTTCCCAGCTACCTTCTTAGTTCCCACGTCTCTCAGTGCCTGCCTTCCCCAACTCCTCCATTTCAGCCCTGACTTCCACTACTGAGAACACAGGGACCATATGCACAAATGCTCTGGGAGCTTGGAGGATTTATGTGGATTATTATTATTTTTATTTTAAATTTTTAAAAGGGCTCTTCTAGCAACACCCAAAAAAATCTGGAAAGAGTAAGAAAAAATAAAAACAAATAATTTAGAATAGCTTAACATTTCTATTTGTTTTTGTTTTTAACCAAATTTCTAGTTTTTTGTGTTTTTTTTTTTTTGTTATTGTTATTGTTTTTTGTTGTTGTTGTTTGTTTTTAAGCCTTAAAACCTCAAAGGGGAAAACATGCTCTGGCTTTTACTCATGGAAGTCAGATTACACATCAAAAATGCTCATTAATTTATTCTGGAGACAAATTAAATGAATGAGACTTGCTTGTAAATCTTAGGAAGAGCTAAAGATCATGAGACACTAACCTAATGCCCACTGCTGAACAAAAATCTTTGTGCTTGTATCTAGGTCAGACTGAACATCATCTAGCCCACTCTGCTTTGACAGTCAAGCAAAGTGTAATGACTGCAAGTTATCTTCTGAGCCTGCCTCCAAACATGCTTTGAGCCCTGTAGTATTTGTCATGTAGGGACCCTTCAGCTGCAGGTTAAGATCTTTGGGTTTAAATAAGGAAAGAAACATCCACAGAGGAATCTGGATTAACCAATTTGCATTTAGCAAAAGCTTACAGGGATTCAATGTATCTTGCAGGAACAAGTTGCACATTTCAATTTATACATATCTTAAAGGACTCTGCTAAGACTCCTGAGATGCTCCTGTTGCCTGTTTGCTCCTACATTACAACAAGAGGAGAATCTCACACCTTTCCCAATTCTGTAGACACTGAACTGCATCAGTCTTTACTATTCATTCCCTTGCTAGGGTCACCTCTTGTCCAAACAAAAAGATTAACTATAAACTGACAATCTTGATGAAAGTATACTTAAAGTACAAGTCTGAAAACATTTTATATGTTTGGAAGATGAGAGAAAAAAAAAAAAAAGAAAAAAAAGTAGCTATATTTTGATCTCAAACTGACGGCTCATTTGGTCATTGCTAAGGTACTTAAGCATCCCATTTTGTTCATTAGACAGTACTTAGAAACCCAAACAAATGTAACAATAATTGCTTTTGGTCTGGATACTAGGAAGTATGTGATGTCTCAATCTAGGACTTTACTTACTTTAAAGAGGAGTCTCCAACACCAAGACATCCTCTCAGACTGAGTTGTCTCAGGAACCCACCACACCTTTTCGATATATTTTCCACAACACGACCCTTAAACCAAATAAAAGGAAGATTTTGTTGAGTTTTATTCTGACATAACATTCTAACCAAATTAAAAATGCCAGGACTGAAAATCAGTCCCAGTTAAATCCTACCAGAACCATACCTCATTGAATTTCTTTTCCTGCTTTAAGGAAAAACGGGTTACCTGATGAGAGAAGTTCTGCTCAATTCAATTTTTAGATCGCTCTTCCTTTTTCAGTCTGTGATATGTGGCCTGATTTTTGTCTGAGCAAAACCCTATCCATTAAAATTGCTAAAATGATCTTCAGGATCTGTCAGATTTGCAGGCAATCTGAAGAACTGCCCAGAGGCAGAACAGAAGGCATCCTGCTCCTCAAGGACTACAGTTATTACTACAGCATACAACTTTAAATTATCCCTGAAGGCGTGCTTAGGCTAGTATTTTAATCTCAACTATAGCCCCTTGTAAGTCCTATTTTACAGTCCCTGCTATAGCGATGGTTACTTCTGAAACAGGAAGGTATTGGACACCTGGTGGGAGCAGCCACTTCAACTCCAGAAGACTTGCAAGAGCCTACCTCCCAGTCTTCAAAGTCAGATATATTTGAGAGTCTGTTCCTAACACCTGGAAATGCCCAGGGACTTCTCAGACTATGGAACTTACTGACATTATACCTCATTATTTGTGAAAAGTTGGAGCACAGTTTAAAAACAAAACTTCCCATTTGACCTTGTGCTTGTTACAAGATGCTATTCATTTACACCCTGAAAGCATTTACTCCCTGAAAGGAATAAGCAGAATAGAATAGTACTTCTAGTGCTCCAAGCTAGTATTATGAAAAATGTTATTTCAACTATGAAATACTTTTATTTTATTTCTTCATAGTAAAAACAGAATAATATATCAAAAAGCAGGTAAACACTGCAACAACTGACTACTCATCACATTGTGTCTAATTTTAGGAAGACAAAGTAAAAAGAAATCAACACTGATCTTGTAACAAATAGGACAAATATATACCTAACTGCACCTTTTATTTTCTTCTCTCTTTTATTCTAAATAAACAATACTCATAAATTACAGGGCAGTGCATTTTTAAATTTCCTCTCTGTATGCAATGGCAGCAATTTTACTGAAACAATAAAACATTTCTTGGATTTTGTTGTTCACCTGTTATATTAAAGTCCCAGCTAAAACTATGTGAAAATATCAGAGCTTATTTGTTAGTCTGTGAGTAACATATTATCTCCTATCTCAAATTCTCAAATATTTTTACTTCAAAACAAACTGAAGGCAACTATACACTTCATGAAATGACATACTTTTTAGAGCTTTCTTATCACTTCGAATTATTTCCCAGCAGAGGCTAAATACCTTTACTGTAAGAATAAAGTCTTCTCAATGAATTACATATAATGCAGATTCAATCTACATAGGGGAAAAAAGCCAAAACCTAATGTATTATTCAAAGAAAATAATGAAACAAATAATAAGATACATTTTTCCATACCCATTTATTACTTTAAGCATGTTAAAAAAACACCAAACCAGCATATTCAAAAAGACAACATTAAGTGCATTCAAATGTATTTAGCTGTTTGAATAATTCAATGTCACTCAAAATCCTGTTCTTCAGACTATCCCAGCTTATGCTTGGTGCCACATACCAACAAATTCTAAGGCACACTTCAAGATCTTCACACATCTTTGCATTAGAAAAGAACATTTTTCCTTTATAGCATGTACTTTTTTCTCAGTTTATTCAGTATCATATAAGATCTTGAATAGGAAAAATTTCATAACAAAACTGATTTTCCATTATCTGATAGTCTCAGATCAAGTACCGCTTGATGTTATGTGCAATATCATCAGATAATGCAATATTGATCTGAGCAAAAAGTTGCCAAATAACAATTAGCAGCTTTTACCTGTCTTAAATCTAGACAGAAAAAAAAATAATAAAACAGTTTAAGGAAAAAACAAGACACTGAATGTGAACACATTTCTCATCCAGAACTGATTTCTGTAGTACTCGTTCATTTAACTTGCACTTAGGAATAAATTTAACACATATACATTACAAAAGTACTTAAATGTAATACACTGAAGTAATTGAATTGCTCAAAATCACAGTATCTCCTTATAGAAAAAGAGGACCATAGCTTAATTTCATTCATTCTCATTAACACCAGACTACAAATACGTCTGAAAGGGCAACACCACTAGGAACAACATAAGACAAACTCTGCAAAAATGTAAAAGCCCAACACTGTTCCTAAATAACAGAAAAGTTTCAGTCACAAAAAAGGCTGACCAAGAGAATGTCCACAGATCTGGTAGGGTTTGTTTATTATTTTTTAGCAAATGAGAGACACCAGCTTTTTTAGAGGCAAGTGAAAAAATGAAATGAGACCTCCAAGACTTCTTAGACACATTGAGATATTTGAAGATGCCAAAATCTTTTTCCTACCTCCACGATATTCTTGTATTTGACATCAGTATAGCAGAGGAGTTGGCATTAAATTTTTTATAGAACGGTGAGAAAATTTACTCTATGTTGCTGTAAAGCTTAAGGAACAGCTTGAACCACAGTTGGCAAAATATACCAAATGATCCCCATCTGGATTTTATTCATGCAACTAAGACGCTTAACATAAAATCCAGAAGCAAATTAGTTATTGTATTCTAAATTTATTTTATATTATCAAACACAAATTATAAACTAGTTCAGTTACAATTAAGGACTTGTATTTTTCTATGGATTTTTGTCTTCATTTTCCAACATCAAATTTTATTCTGTTATACACATCTATGATAGCATTAATACATTTTTTTCTTATGAAACATAAGACTGCCGTAATCCTTTTGTTATATGCTGAAAAGGACTTTAATCTACATGTACATGCATCTCAGGCAAGATTAAAGCCCTAGGAAACAAATGTTCATAAAGTGGTAATAATATATACATCAAATCCAGGCCAAGCCAGCAGTAAGAAGAGTTGGTTAGCATTTTGTTGTTTCAGTCTCCAAGTTCTGGGGCCAAGTGTCCAGGGAGCATTCAGCACTAGATGGCACTCTCACAGAGACAAGCAACAAAATTCCTCTAGGTTGTGAAAGTGACTCAGCATCTCAATCGAGAGGCACCGTTTACATCTTTGTTTTCTGGAAATGATCAGTTCTTAATTTATAGAGCCTTGTATGTATACAATATTTGCAAATTAGCTGACACACTGCCAACAACCAGAACTCTAAAACTCATCCGGTGTAAAAAAGTCAAATATAGTGCCATCTTTCTACATGCTCCTTCTCTGTTTTAGTATTTTGAACTTTAACCTTTAAAATGTGAGAACTCAAGCACAGCCTATAGAGTACTCAAAACGGGCTATGCACTTAAACATCACCATAGGAATGAAATAAACAAAGACACTAACCTCTATATCTGTCTGAAAGTTAAAAAGGTCTATTCTTTGCCAATTGCTTCCATCCAGAGCTAAAACATTCCATGCCTGCAGAAAACAAATAAGAGATTATATACCTCCACTGCCTGCTCCCTTCATTTTTGTCTCAGAAATTCAAATACAACAAACTCTGAAATACAGTAAAATAGACGTTTTTAGGTAGCAGTTTTTAAAAAACAAATGTAATTGTAGATATTAGCAATCCTAAAACATTAACTGGTTAAAACCAGGGCATTTGTGGAAATTAAATACAGATCTAAAAGAATTACACTTCAGAGATTTGTCTTATGCCCATAAAACATGCATTAGAGGAAGAAATTAAATAAAATATATGAACATAGCAATATTCAATGGTCAATTTTTAAAAAGAGCTTTTGTAAATTTGTCTAATAAGTTATTCTTGTTAGATGTATATGGAGAGAAGTGACTGCATTTGAGAGTCCTTCCAATAAAACCACAGTTCCTCAGCCTCAGTAGTTACTATTCTGAGAGGAACAGAAACAGAAGCCTTTCAGAAAACTGCTGACTTTCCACTGTTAGAATCAGGCCTTTCCATGTGCTGAGTAACATATATGTGTCTGAGAATCTGTCTGCTACTATTGACGTAACAGATGACAGTTTTTTAAAGTAGAACAAAGTAAAAAAAGTGAGAGAAAAAAAAATATTTAGAAAAACTGAAAGAAAATCACAAACAACCGACAAGAGGCAGCTTTGAGAGAAAAAATTTTGATTGTTTTATCACCTTGGTTTTCTTCTGATGTATTCAAGACTACCTGAAAGTTCTAACAAAGCCTGATGTTAGTTAGCTCAAAAAACTTATTGAAGTTGTGGACCAAAATGGTACGGGTATAGAAATGAAACAGTTACACAATTATATAATAAAACAAGGAAACAAACAAAAAAAAATAAAAATGGAGAAAAGCATGAAATTAGAAAGTTAATTCATGTTGTATAAGAATATGTCTCATTGTACACACTTCATGTAGGACCAGAATATTTTTCGTTTTAATGAAAAAAAAAAAGACTAGCTAAACATAAAAGCTTACTTTGCATGCTTTCTCTATTATCTTCTGTGTGCCTTTTTCCTCTACTAGTAGTCCATTTATTTAACATAATTTGTGCTTGACAAGCTAATGATGGATGAACTTCTTAGACACATGGTGCACATTAACTGAACTACATGGAATTTTAAGCAGAATATGCATTTGAAAAATAGTGTTATATGGCCGCATGCTTTATAAAAAGCAAATGCCATTATGCCAAAATGGGCTTAATCCTTTCTCCAGATATAGAGCATACACTACTGGGTATCTTTTCTATAGCCTTTAAACAGAATTCTAACATAGCAACTATGAATCTGAATGCAATTGTGGACCCACTGTTTATTTGTTTTAATGAACAGTAAGGGTATATTTGATTTTTTTTTCTTTCAATTTTAGACAGGAAGGAGATTGCCTTAAAGCCCATGATTTGCAAGTAATTAAGTGAAAGCTTTCCAAAGAACAACAAGAACAAAAAGAAGCACAATAGAAATACATACCTTGGAAACCTGTGCACATCGACACAAAGTAACTATGTCCAAGAAAGAAAAAATTCTAGAAAAAATTAAAGAATAAAAATTAAAATATTTTATTACGAGTTCAGACTAACATCTGAATTCACTTCTGTAGTTCTATGGAAAGATAACCAGTTACACAACAAGCAAGCTAAATGAAATACAAGTGTTTCACTACATTATTTTGCTTAATGAGTAATACCATGGCCATCTTCTTAAGATAGTCAACTCCTGCATAGTAGGAAACAGGTGCTGCTACAGATAATCTATTTTACAACTCTCACTCCTCATTACCCATTTGTGTATGAATAACAATTTTTTTAATATTATTATTTTTAATTCAGAGAAACTGGTTTGTAAACCTTTAATTGCGATGCTATTAAAGAAATAACTTACACAAATATATGTGAAGATTTTGGAGACTGGTGAAGTATAAGAAATGGGAAATAACACACAGATAAATCCAAATTTGAGAAAATAAGTACAAACACAAAGCATGATAACCCATATTTCTAAAGGGGCATCACAATGACTACCAAGTCTATCACAGTCAACATCTTTTTTTTTGAATTTGCTCTAAAAGAAACAATTACACTTCAAAATTTAGCATTACAATTCAGATCACTGTAACAATTCTTCAAGGATGGTGACTTTTTGTAGTTTTCTAAACTAAATTTTTCACTGTCAAAATGAATTTTGCTAAATACCATTTAAAAACAACAATGAAACCAATTCAAAGAAAATTCTCAGGGAATAAAATATATTAAAATAAGCATAAAATATAGATCCCATTCCCAAATCAGTTTCTATTACAAACAGTTAAAGATATGAAATACATGAAAGATGTTCCTGCAGTTCATTTATAAAGTATCACCTCTCACCAATGAACCTTTTCAGTTATCCAAACAATGAACAGTGATAATAATATTGTGTGCAACATGGCATTTTTGGCACTAAGGAGCAAACTCAACTGGAAAGAGATGTTGAATTCTATATGTAAAATTCTGATTACAATTTTCTAAGTGGAAACCTGAAGCTAGAGCTCTAAATGGATGCCTAAATCCTAAGGGCTGTGGTTTTTAGCCGTGGTAACAGTAATGCAATGGAACTTAATGGACGTACTTATTAAACATTAAGGCCCTTCTGGACATTTAGTACGATCTATTAGTTATTAGTTTTGAGTTATTAGTATTGAACAGTTATTATTTTTCCAATATTTCATCAACATATGAAAATACTTTTTTTACTGTACACTAATATATTTCTAAAAAAAAAAAAAATCTCAAAAGGCAAACAGACAATTTACAAAACAATGCAGATAACATTCATTTTGATAGCATCTATTTTGTCATTTGAACATCCATTCTAAGGTCTGTTGCCCCCCTTAAGAAACTTAGCAGTGCTTTACACACAAACTGCACACTGCATGAACAGTCCAACAATCTTGCTGAACACAGATGAGTAAAGAAAGCGCTCTCTCTTTGAAGAGCAGCATTTATCCCAGTGACCTGCCTCGAACCCTCTCTGTAGTCACCTCTCCTCCCTTCCCAAGAGGGGAGCAGCAGAAGGTGAGGAAGGGGATATAACACTGGAGAGCTGTAAAAGCCACCTGGCTTGTAGAAGCTTCCTTGTAATAATGATGTATGAGGGGAATCACAGGTTTATCTTAGATTTGCAGAAGCCAAAGCATAAAAGACACATTTCTAAATTATTTCTAATGAAGACATGAAAGATGGTGACAAACTATTTCATGACAATATTCTTGCCTAAATGAAGCATAGGACATGCTTTGGAAGTGATTCATCCAGTTCCACTGAAAGTAAGAAATAACAGAAGGAATTCAAGACGTTGAAGAAAAGCTATTTTCTATACTCCAACTACTGAGTTGTCTAGCAGTCTCTCTTCATGTTTGACTGTTTATTACTGTTACGAGATTTATGTTAATGTATGATTTCCGCTGAAAAGAATTAAAACCAAATGCAGAACAGACATATTTATTTTTGCTCCATTCTGTATGAAGAGACTTTTTAAGAAGTCAAAAACTGAAAGTGGTTATTTTATGTTAAAAGGAAAACTATTTTAATAAGTGAAAACATCCATGATGTTTTTAGATTTCCAGTTTTGTTCTAACAAAGGAACTGTCTTGAAAGGCAGCTCAACCTGTCTCCATGAAAATAGGTAACTTAAAATGAGATTAGGATGCATTCTAACAGACCAAAATCAGAATCATTACTCAATTAAATATTATCATAGGTACCAGTAAATTATTTTACAATTGCTAAAAGTTATTTTGCCAACTTGCTTGGAACTGTTTTTTCCATGCTCTTCTATTTGTTTACTCTCTATAGTACAGTATTATGGGCAAACCGCTAAAGACAACAGCTTCTCTACTTGCAGCCCCACAGAACTACTAGCAAATCCTTATCAGTCAGGGAAAATAGCCAGCAAGACACAAGACTTAAGGTTTTAAGGCTTTAAAACCCAATCAAAGAATGGAGAAAGAGATGGCAACTCTGACATTGTCTGGCACATTGGCAAAGGGACTATGTCAGCAAGCACTTGTAATTTTAAAAAGTGGAAAAGATTACCATATAGGTCAGACGATGGTTGTATAACACATCTGTCCTCTATGACCATAACTACATAGATGGAAGTTAATGCAGCTGGCCACAGGATTAATTTCCACTTAGGTCTTTGGCACAATTTAGTACAGGGAAACTGGAAATTTGTAGAACCACAGTAATGTTTACTAATAATCTGTTCTAACTTCCTGTATCCCAGGCTATCAATTTTTCCTTAGTTAGCCTGTACTGAGCCCGAGAAGGACAATCTGCTTAGTAATAATGAGAGTTCATCAAGACTTCTTGTCCCTAGGCACACACCAGTCTGGACATACATATGCCTCATGAGCTTGCTCTTGGAGATCTTTCAATGTTAACAGTACCAGCAGTACGCATGAGTGTCATGCCAAAGGCATAGAGTTGTACAAGCTCACAGTTCCTCAACTCCTTTAAGGTAAACTACTATTTGGCTAAAGCCTAAATTCCAGAAAATGATCTATTCTTGATTTGAAAGCCTTCAAGGGGTGGAAAGTCACCACCTTCTCTGGTAGTTTGTTCTACTGGTTAATCATGCTGTTATAATATTTGCCTTATTTCCAAGGTGAACATCTGACTTTCAGCTTCATGCTTTCCTCTACTTTTCTTCACCAAATTCAAGAGTGCTTTAGCAGTTAGTACTTCCTTCTCACATAGTTTTAAAGCCACTTATGTCATCTTTAATTCTTTTTACTTTAGCTCTTTAAATCTCATCTTCTGTGCACATTCTTCTTTCCCAGTATGTTTCTGCAAATGTACACATTAGAAGCACATGAAGTGTTAAAAACCTTATTAGTACCAACAAAGCTGCACACAGCCGGAGACTTTAACAGCCTTTTTGATACAGCAACAGACAAGATACTTACAGGATCTTACACATTTCACTCCAACATCCTCTTCAGGGATGACATATCCCAGGCTACAGCTCTTCGTGTGACCTTCCCTAATCCATGTAAAAATTCATCATGTAAAATTTATCTTGTTTGAATGTCCCTTCATTTAATATGTCATTCAGATGTCCTTGGGAGTGCTTTGTCTTCGCAGTAATTTACCACTGCATTTCTTTTAGAGTCATCTAGAACTCTTATCTCAAGAGACTTCTTAAAATGTCATTTTCATAACATGGAATAGAAAACAAAAAGAAAAAAAATGCTATTTGGTCTACCTGCCAGTTGCTGCAACAACTGTTAAGCAACTCTGAATCCTTTTAACACGAACCAATGTACTGTACAGTGCTACTTCTTAATCGAAAGTTCAAATGTTAAAGTCAAATGCCTGAGTAAATTCACGTAATTTGGGTCGGTAGAACTGATTGTTTAACCCCAGATTGATATCGTCCAACCACTTTTTTCCCCACTAAAACACAACTGCTGGTTATATTTCTCTCTCTCAGTTTTTTATCAAACATACATATAGTGAGTTTTTCCAGTGCATATTGAATAGGAGGCTGAGTTTTCTTGTATTCTTCCATATATTTCCATTTCCATACAGAGTTCATTACTCCCTTGTGCTATGAACAGACGTGTTTTTCAAAACACAGAAATGAGTGATGTCACTTCTATTATTTTGTTTCCCTCTCTGTAGAACCACAGAAAGAAACAGCTATTTCTCAGAACCCCAACACTGCATGGAGCATCACCTACAGAATAAGAAACAAAACCATGCAAGAGTCAAACTGCCTTTCTCATCTTTCTAAGGCCTTTGCCAACCTAATCACATAAGGAACAAGCTTTTGCAGTTGCACCTTGATAATTACTCTTTTTTAAGTATTGTGATACAATACTACATGGCCTGATTACAAGCAGATAACAAAATACATACAGTAATGCATACACGCATACTGAACTGTGACTTCCTGGAATTTTTGGCTTGGCAAACTCAATGTTGGTATCTGCCAAGTATGACAGAAATGCCTGATAATTTCTAAAGACACTTAGCAATAAAATAAGATTTTTAAAACTGCTTTAAGAACGGAATGCTATTTCAAAACTTTTATTTTTCACATCTTTTCAATTCACAGTGCTGTTGCACACAAAGAATGATGTCAAAGTATACAGAAATATATAGTTGGATGGATGGAATATATGGATTCCCCATCCCTAGAAGTGCTCAAGGCCAGGCTGGATGGGGCTTTGGGCAACCTGTTCTAGCAGGAGGTGTCTTAGCCCACAGCAAGGGAGGTTGGAATTAGATGGTCTTCAAGGTCCTCTCCAACCCAACTCATTCTGTGATTCTACATTTCTATGAAATGGAAGTCATAATAATAGATGAGAAATGCATGACCTTTAAGAAGTCAAGTTGAAGACTTGAACACAAAACATGTATAAAAGGTATAGGGCAAAATCTCAACCCATGAAACAGTTTATCTCATGTCTTCCAAAAGGTCAGATACACGCTATAATCAGTTTTAGCACCCTTACTTAGCTTTGTTTCACTCAAAATA